TTTTTTTTTTTGTTCAGCAAATTCTATTTGATGTCATATAACCTTGTCACAACATAACTGTTAATTTTTTATGACGTATTTTTTATGGCAAATTCCTTCAAAATTGTCCCTATAGGCTTTCCAGAGATATTTCGGCATGAAAATCTTTACCATATCTATCCTTTATTTCCGTTTCTGCTATAGTATGAAGAAAGTTTGGTTTATTTGGTTTATTAGGTTACGGCAAAACATACTAGGATTATCTGGCTGAAAGAAGGGATACCTTCGTAGAGGATTTTCTAAGGGAAACTGACTCTTATCATATCATCTTCTTCTGGAACATAGTCATAAAACTTCAAACATAGAATTCCGCCTGATTCCACCTCTAGCCTTCTTCTAAAGTTAGATGATTCGCTTCGGAAATGATTCAAAGAAACAATGCATTTCATTGTGCGAATTTACTCCGATTCCAGAAAATGGAATTGAAGCTCTTTTACAGTTCACGGACAGCTCGTGTTGGAAGCGTGTGAGGAATAGGAATTTGGTATTCGTTCACGAACTAGTTCGCTTCAATGAGCGAGCTTGCACCTAATGGCGGAAAAAGAACTCAGCTCTTGTTGGAAGCTTACCAGGAATTTCGATTTCCATTTTAAAGGAGAAAAGAATTTTTTTTTTTTTTTTCCCTCAAGTTAAAACTTTGTTTAATTTTTATCACTTCCCAATTGTTATTAATTACTGAAACATTTATATTCAAGAATTTTGTTCTTAGTTCTTTGTAGAAAGATTTTAGGAAATCTCAAAACTACGGTTAAAAGAAATCAATTCAAGGAGTTAGCGTTTGATTGAGTCAATTCTTCCGAACCCACTCTTTGATCGATTCTTTCCGCGTTTCGCTCCATCTTATCCAACAGCTCTTTATTCAGCCGTAGTGCTGTATCTTTTTTCATCAAGGTTATTGTCAGTGAGCGGTGAGTCAAAAAAGGAACGATTCATTTTAATGAGAGAACATGAGAGAACTGTTCTGATCCTTACCTCATAAAAGAACGGTTTTGTCCATTTACCCTGTAACCAGCTAGTAGTACGTTGCCAATACAGTTGTTAGTAATTTTATGCTACGAGTTCTTATTCTGGTCAAAATTTGCAAGTTATCGTAGGCTGATAACCCTTTTCAGAGCTCTAACTTATTTTTGTAAAAAGCGGTAAGATTCTTATCTCAGAAGTCTTTCCGCAACTCTTTTCTTGTACTTTGATGGCATAGTTCCTAGGGATCAAAATATTATAACCGTTACGTCTGTTATTAAATCAAGGGTTGATTGAAGAGTTACGAGACGAGAATGGCAAAAAACTGTTAAAAACAATGGAGTACATAAAAGCGATAAAAAGTCTCAGTCAAAAATATTTTTTGTTAAATTAAGTTTAATAAAATAGAGATATTAAAAAATATATACCAAATTCTACAACATTAAGAAGCTAAAATTTTTAGAGCTAATTTTTTAAAATCTTTTCTCGTGGTTTTTACAAAACTTGGCACTTTGGCATAATTTGAGCCGTAGAATTGAAATATGAAAAAAAATAAGTACGTCATTTCAACCGTTTCTTTATTTCCCACGATTATGTTATGTACGTCCGTGATCATTCACGACAAACTGAATTAGGGAGTTTCTAAAACTCACAGTCACGTCTGTTCAGTACCAAGTGCGTACATGTGTTGAGTCTGTACTACGTTTTTGATGTCTCGAAAGCGAGACTTACGATATATAGAAGATTTATATATAGCATTGTTCTATTATAGGTATTTTGACACAAAATCCGACTTTTCTAAAGTGACATACCTTTTTTTTTTTTTTTTTTTTTTTCATATTTCGATTCTACTATTAAAATTAAGCCCAAATATCAAATTTTATAATATTTGGTAAGAAAGTTAGCAAAAATATAAAAACTTTACCTTGGCGCACTTTTTTATCAATGTGCGCCAAAAAATATTCACTTGGTGAAATTCTTAATTTATAGTAACCTATGTTATTTCTACTTTTTTAGTTGTGTACCAGCGGGAAAAATATGGTGTATCAATTCATTCTTTCAAATAATTTTAACAAAGCGCATAAATCCTATTTAGGATTATTATTGCTCATAACAAATATACCAAATTTCAAATCTAGTCAATATATTAATTCATGTACATCTTTGGAAATTTTGAATAAAAAGCTCTAATTTTTTACAGATATTCTTAGAAATATATCAACTTTAAGGTGATTGCAAAAATTTTATAGCTTATAATTCAAAACATTTTTCGTTTAAAAACAAATCAGAAAATATCTGCAAATTTTATTTAGAGTGCACCTGAATTTCGAGTTGTGAATAAAGGAATCAAGTAAGTTTAATAAAATAGAGATATTAAAAGATATATACCAAATTCTACAACATTAAGAAGCTAAAATTTTTAGAGCTAATTTTTTTAAATCTTTTCTCGTGATTTTTACAAAACTTGGCACTTTGGCATAATTTGAGCCGTAGAATTGAAATATGAAAAAAAAATAAGTACGTCATTTCAGAAAGGTCCGATTTAGTGTCAGAAAACCTGCGTTAGGAGCAATGCCATGTATAAATCAAATATATATATACTAAGTCGCACTTCCGAGGAATGAAAATCGCAACTTAAATTTTGCCAAATAAGCCCCAGTAGAACAGGTTTTTTGTTTTCCGATTAGGTCTTACTTTCAGGGAAAAACGGTATAGTGCTCAACGAAAATTAAACTGACTGCTATTAAAGGAAATAACAGGAATTTTTATTTGTCCTAGTCATTTCTTTCTCGCAACTTTTCAGTGTCATCTCTATTTTGCCACAGAAAATAATGCCATTCTTTACTGAACAACCTACAAGTCACATCCAGTATGAAATTTGTTTCCGGTGCTTCTTAAAGCAAGTGCTGTACTTTTATAAATGGTCGTGTACTGAAACTTAATGTTACGTTTTCTGGTTTGAAATTAATTTAAACTCAATATTCATCTTAACGGTTAACACACGAATTTATCTTAAATTGTTAAAAATCTATTTAAAGGACAATAAGTCATATTAGAATCAAAATGAAAATTTATTAAGTTACTTCTGCTCGTTTACAACAGATATTTTAACTCAAACTAAAACGATATCTTTTCGTGTAAAAATATTACAAGATACGGTTATTTGCCTTGCTACCTAAGATTTCAGTTTATCATAAACAAAATTCTAATTTCAAAATTGAACACCTGACAGGCTACACTGCCTTTGAAATCGTAAAGCACTTAACAACTACTATAGTCTCTTACTTGTAGAATATGCATTCAAAGCCATTTCTCCCTCCGGTCTTCCCTCGCAAACGTGGTAATGACTGATGCGTAAGATGATCGAGTCCTCTAATTTGCGAATGACGACACATATTAAGATCCTAAACGAAGGTTTACGATCTTGAAGGGCCTATTTTAAAGTAAAAGTCTGTAGAACTCTGGCCTTTCACCGTCTGAGGCTGTAGCTAAGCCCTAGGTCCACCGTCTGAACACTCCCTATCCCCCGTTCTCACCTGTGGAACAAGATTATTCTGTAGCGAATCAAAGAAGGTAAAGTTGCACACGCGGGAATGTGCAGCTGTCTCAGCGAAATCATCAGCCAGATGTCAGTTCATCTTTGCTTCGCCATGATTGGTCGGTTAGCATGAAGTTAAAATATTTAAACAAAATCCTTGTACACAAATTTTCGTGATGTAGTATTAGCTGGTTACCTACCCAAGAAAGTTCGACTTATTTTTTTGTGACCATAAAACTATCTCTTTTACAGATTTAGCAGGAACTATCTCAGTGACCCAAAGGCGATGCAGTGCAGTTAACACTAACTCCTACTTTTCTTGTCGCCGACAGAAGATGGCCACCAGAAACTTCTTTCTTACTTAGGTCCAGTCGAACAAAACATTTGCTCTTACAAATGCACCTTACTATATTACTTACTTACAGAGGAAAGGGGCGCATTTGCCTTCTGAAACTCAGTGGCAACATATGATCTGCTTCCTAGTTCTAAACTATGCAACATTCCATTAAATTTGTGCAATTTACTGATGAGAGAATATTGTGACATGAACCAAGAAGGAAAGGATGGTGTTTAACTTAATTCTAACGTTTTGTAAAACTTAGGTATAATTCTCATAATATGTGTAAAAATTAGATAATATTGTAGCATACGTATGGGCTCGTAATGCATTAAATGCACACAGAACCGATGACAGCTTTATAAAATGTTTTTACCAAAAGAAATACTTTACAATTCTGGAAATTTCCTCGAAAATACTCGTACAGCTCTTCTCAATATCACAGAACACAATCAGTAGTTACATTTCAAACTACTGAGAATGTTAAACAGAGCTCATTGCGAAGCGCATCTAAAGAGCGAAGCTCACACGGAGATATCTCGGTACTCCGAAGTCGACTCTGAACTGAAAAAATGAGAACTGATGCTCTCTCCGAGTTTCTACAGTTTTCCCCGACCGCCTAGAAATTTCTAGTACCTTCCATTTCTCGAAATTACTGAAAGGTATATACGATTACAGTTACATGTAACGTATATACGGTTACAGTTACATATAGGACAGTAATTCAATTACAGTACCACTCACAGTTATGCAGAAACCGAAACAAAACATCGCCAAATGGTGGTCAATTCTGTTGACGTTTGGCGATTTCTCGCCAAATTTGGCTACAAATCAGTATTGAATAGACTTGCCCCTGTAATCTTATCTTTCAGACGAAATTCTGGTTCTTCAGACTTTTCATGTTATATTATACGAAAGCTACTACAATTTCCTATATAATGTCACTAAAATTATTTACATATGTATATAACATTCGTAACATTATGCAGAAAATTTGTTAAACTTGCAGAAAATTAAGCTTAAAGGGCATATTCTAGCTATGATGATTATTTATGAACATTAAACTGAATATGCACTATCCTAGTGGTTTTCGATAATAATTGCAATGATCACATTTTTTCACAGGCAGCCGGGAGGCAGCGTACGCTTACGCCGCGGTGTCTGCAGGAGTGACCTACGCTATTACACAAAGTTGTAGCCGAGGGAAGCTACGGAACTGTGGTTGCGACACGAGTCGAGATGGCATGCTGGATGCCGAAGGTGGCTGGAAGTGGGGCGGATGCAGTGCGGACATAAGATATGGCATACGCATGAGCAGACAGTTCCTGGATGTGCGGGAAATTGAAGGCGATGAGCGTTCGCTCATGAACCTGCACAATAACAGGGCTGGAAGGAAGGTGAGTGGATTCTGTGTTCTGCATGACCTCAAAGTGATCTGTGGCGATTGGCTGTCGTATATAAGACAAAGCCGAAAATTCGCACTAAACAGTTGTTCTTCCATAATGTTTTCAATGTGTGATACGGCATTTACAGAATTAAAATTTAGAAACCTGAAGTTTAATCAAAGAACTTCAGCTTTAAAAAAACTACGAAATAATTAAGAAAAACGTTTAAAGTGACATCATAATAAGATGTACGATAGATTGGATGGATTAAATGTAAGAAATACCGAAGAATTTCCGTTCGAACTAATAGCTTGTGTCCAGTTCTGGAAGACAATAAGATGCATTTTTACTTAATCAGATTGGAAAGCAAATTAAAATATTGCTAAAAACTGCGCGCATTGATTTTAAATCACATATTTTGATAACCAATAACACACAGATTAAATCTGAAAGTTAAATGTATTTCGTTATATCGAATGGCAACACACTGTGGTGCGGGGAGAGGAAGAAATTTTATTTATGGTAATGGGAATACATTGCTATAAAATATTCGAGTTTGTTGATTAAATTTGAAAACCAGCACTTATTACTTTGCAAAATGACAACACACTAGCGTGCAGAAAATAAAATGCTTTATCTCAAGCAGTGGCAATAGATTGCTATTGAGTCGCTGAGTTTGTTAATCAAAATTTTATTAAATTAATACCAACTATGAAATAAAAAAATCTAAAGGTTTTCAGATTTTATATTACCCCCAAAGTGGACTTTTATTAACGCTTTGCGTGTTAACTTTATTCATTAAACATCATGTTCACTTAAACCATAAAATTCAATTCAACAGCAATATCACAAAATAATTTAAAAGCAGCATATGTTTCGAATTTCCGATACACAGTCTCGCGTGCTGGAGATAAACTTTTTTTTTTTTTGGTTCCCTACTGTGTTGCCGTTGCTCATTTTGAAATTGTTGAGTTTTTTAATCAAAAATTCATTAAAGTGTACAAAATATGAAATCGTTAATAAAACAAATTTCATATTAGGGTTTCCAGATGTCCATATTCGGTGGAGGATTACGTTATTCAAAATTTGATGGCTCTAGGTGCCATTTACCACAATGCAAAAAAACATACATACATTTATGCAGATTCATCATTATTTAATTTCTTTTAAATATAACACAAGGCGATAATATTTGGTGGTAACAATTTGAAAAGTGAAACGGACATAATTTCACATTTTGTGCGAATTTAATGACATTTGGCTTAAGAAATTGGACGATTTAAAAGCAATCAGTTGCCACTCGGCAAATCGTAAGATATATATGCCTTAAGTTTAAAAGACTCGGTGATTTATGAGAATTATGTTGCCAATGGATGAAACTTAAAACGTATGTCTTTCAAATTTAATCGACAAACGCAGCCATTTAAAAAAAAAATAACGTATTGCCTCTCGGCAAAGCACAAAATATTTGTCTTTAAAATTTAATCAACAAATTCAGCGATTTAAGAGAAATGTATTTCCACTGCCCGAAATAAAATATTTTTATCTCCCACACAAATAGTGTATTATCATTCGGCAAAGGGTAAGATAATTCCTTTCTCTTTCTAGTTTAATCTGTCTCTCGTTTATTAAAGAACTAAGCGAGTTAGAAGCAATAAGAGCAGTTTTTATCTCTGTTATTAATTACTGCCTGAATGCAATGAAATTGCACTATCTGGGTTCACTAAAAATTACTATAGATATATATATTCGTTTTTAGAATAATTATTTCAGGCGGCCAGTATTGAATTACAGAAATAGAAACAACAATATGTATAGTGTGAATTTACTTTTTATACACAGTGAGAGAACAAAATATTCCCATTTTATTGAGGAAATTTTATTTTGATGTGGTAACATGAAATCGAAACCGCAACATCTTAGACTGCGGCTCAAATTAAAGACAAGTTTGTTTTCCATAAGGCAAGATAGCTCAGTTTTCCTGGTTGTAGTGTCGTAAAATTACGGCGGCCACAACAATACACTTCTAATGCAACCAGCAAAAAATTTACAACATTTTCTTAACATAGCCGAGACATTTTCCCACGACTATAATTTTCTGTATTTGAACATTTCCCGTTTACCACAAACAAGACATAATACCGTAAGGTGAATAGGGTTACACAATGTCCTATTTTGTAAAGGCCAATAAATGTATTTTATCGCAGGGAAGATTGTCCGCACTTTTTGTCCCGACCGCTTTTACTTAGTGTTCACACACTTCGAAATCGTAAAACTACTCCCGCAAACTACAATACGGCATAATAAACGTCGCTTAAACTCTTCACGTACAAAAGATAGTTTTTCAAAAAGTTACATTTTCAGTGAAAAAAAAAATAATAACGATCCTCAGAGACCAGAGAAAAGCGCAACTTATCACATCATCAAAGCTGAAATTCTGGAGATAACTTATAGATATCACGATAGAAAAATGCATTCTTGTCAGCCTTTCACGGCAGCAGCCCATGTGTAACACTTTTCCCAGTCTTTGTGAGGTAGTTTCAGCAACAACTTTTATTATGCCCAGATGAAAGATAAAGGAAGAAAGCTGTTGCAAAACTATTGATCTGTACTCCTGAAGCAGCTAGTTCTGGCTTGATAATATAATCTTGCTTATTCTATTCAATTTTAAAATGAAATCAAAAAAAGTTCTACAACCGCCATAAACAAGGTTTTATTGCTTCTATATTATACATTACTAAAATTTTCTACTCAGAAAATAGGCTTCTAAAATTGTGACTTTTATTAATCCAAAGGGGCTTTGTCCCTGAAGGACTATTGTTTTCATTCTGCGATCTTCCATTGGTTTACTATAAATGTCTGTTTCACTTTTCCGAATGTTGCCACCAATTGTTAGAGTCCTGCATTATATTTGAAGAAATTAAATAATGAAAAATCTGCATAAATGTATGTCTATTTCTCGCATTGTGATAAAACAACGGTACAGAGAGCCATCGAGTTTTGAATGACGTAATCCTCCTAACAATATGCATCGGCATGAGGAAGACCAAATTTGAAATTTGGAATTTGTGTTATTATCTGATTCATTTCTACCATCATTTGAAACATTGTGTTATGGTGCATTTGATTTACCAATCTTTGACTGATTATCTAATTCATTTCAACTGTCCTTGAAACTATGTTATGCTGCATTTAATTTAAGAAATAATATTTTCTAAAACTTTAACGAATTTTTGAATAACAAACTCAACGATTTGAAAGCGAGCAATGACAACACTCTACGGGGGAAAACAGACCTTTTCATCTCCAGCGCGCGGAACTGTGTATCGAAATTCTAAAGATACGATCATTTTAAAATTATTTCGCGACATTGCTATTGAACTGAATTTTATGGTTTAAGTGCAAAGAACATAATATTTAATAAATAAAGGTAACCCACAAAACGTTGAAAAAACGCTCCTTTGGACGTAATTTAATATCTAAAACCTTTCAGATTTAAAAAAAAAAATTTTTAATTTTAGTATAAATCTTTTTTGTGTCGGTATTAAATAATTTAAAAAACACACTAGAATTATACCTAATTCCTAAATTATAATTCCACTACATTAGAAGCAACTATCAAAAGAAGTACTAAATTTTTTTAATCAATATTTTATGTAAAATAAAGCTTTCTAAACTTAAGTTACCTTTTTAATCTTACCATAAGTCCCAGTTTCAGTATTAGATGTGTAAAAATTATAATTAATTACTAAGAAATTTCCTTTCCGTAACGTGTAAATCGACCCAAAACTTCCTCTGTTCGTATTTTTGCTAGAGATTGCACTGAACGGCGAGAGGCTTGATCGCAGTTGTTCTGCTGTGTTTTTATTTATTACCGTAAGAGTATATTAGCAGATGTATAAATGTTTGGAAACTACTAATATGCTCTTAGTGTTAGAAAAATGAACGATTCTTGTCTTTTATTTTCCTCGCATCATTTATACCATCCTTTGATTTACTATCTTTGTTCAGATTATCTGATTCAGTTCTTCCATCCTTTGAAACACTGTATTAAGCTGCACTGTATTAAGCTGCATGTCATTCTTTGGCAGATCATTTAATTCATTTCTACTGTCCTTTGAAGCTACGTTATGCTGCATTTAACAACCTTTGACCGATTATCTGATTCATTTCTACCATCATTTGAAACATTGTGTTATGGTGCATTTGATTTACCAATCTTTGACTGATTATCTAATTCATTTCAACTGTGCTTGAAACTATGTTATGCTGCATTTAATTTAAGAAACTTTGACTGATTATCTGATTCATTTTTACTATCATTGGAAACTTAGTGTTATACTGCATTTGATTTTTGACTGATTATCTAATTCACTTCTACTGTCCGTTGAAACGTGTTACTCAGCATTTGATTGACCATCTTGAACTGGTCATCTCATTAATTTCTACTGTTCTTTGAAACTCTTAAGCTATGCTGGAACTGATTTATCATCCTTAGACTGATCAAGTAAGTCATTTCTACCATCCTTTGAAACACTGTATTACACTGCATTTGATTTACTATCTTTCCATCCTTTGACTGATCTCTGGATTCATTTCTACCCCGCTTTGAAACAGTATGTTATGCACTGCTGTATTTATCCCTTTCTCACTCATCTTTTGCGGATTAAGTTCAAGTTCCAGAATTCACAGGTCCGAGAACTCATAAGTCTTAGAAAAAATTCATAGGTCAGAGGGAATATATTCTAGTATAGAATACGCTTTAAAATACTTTATTTAATAATGCAGTATATAATGTAATTGTAGTTCACTAAATACTTTATTATTATTGTTAATAAAGCTCATAATGTCTTACTTGCAAAATTTATTAATTAAACTTAACCGTAATTATGTATATCACGAACACTTTATTTTATGCAGCTATTTAATCACTTTAATGTTTATGTTATTTAAAATAACAGAGACGGCCGCAATATCTGTGAAGTATAATAAAACTATATATATCTATAATA